AGTACTTGCTGTCAGTCACAAACACTGGTCAAATTAAAAAGCCTTAGAGAGTCAACAGGGCACTGTCCATCCCTGGACGCTGTGCACACACCTCTCATTGCATTAATAAACACTCACTGAGCACTGGGCACTGGGGTCACCAGGTGAGTGAGATGAGGTCCCCGATGAACGGACCTTGTAGTTTAGTGGGGGAGCCAGCTTTGTAACCCTGTACACAACACCTGTCTTAAAAGAGGACAAAGATGTGCCCATGTGTTGTGATAGTGCAGCAAAGGAATAATTCTGTAAGGCTTCCTGGTGGAGGAGGTAATGGCACAGCCAAGTGTTAGAGTAGGAGGAGTGAGCAGGCAAAGGGAAGTGGGTGTAGAAAGAGCAACCCAGGCAGAGGAGAGCAAGCAAGGCCAGGGGGTATGAAACAGTGTGGCCAAAAGGCTGGTGCGGTGGAGTGAACAGTCCAGGGCAGGGATCATAAGCATTGAGGATGGGGAGGGAGTGAGAAACCAGAGCACAGAACACCTCGTACACCTCACAATGAGCTGAGCTTAGTTCTTCTGGGTCAGTACTTCTCAATTCAGCCTGCAAGTTATAACTATCTGAGGAGGTTTTTAAAATATGCACTTATACATATGTTGTTGTCGTTACATGCTATCAAGTTTATCCTGACTCATAGTGACCCTAAAGGACAGAGTATAACTGCTTTATAGGGTTTCCTAGGCTGTAATCTGTGAGAGAACAATCACCAGGTCTTCTCTCCTACAAGCCATTAGTGTGTTCAAACTGCCAACCATCCAGTGAGCAGCTGAGCACTTCACTGCTGAGCCACCAAGGCTCCTTATACACACACACATAGCATATGTCCAGGCTCCAGCCCACATGACTTCAACCACAGTCTGGAGGTAGAGGCTGGACAGAGGCAGCCTTTAAGCCTGAAGGGGATTCTGATGTGCAGCCAACGGTTATTATACTGTAGGCAGCCCACTTTGACCTCAGCAAGAAGAGAAGGGAAAGGACCAAGACTGGTGATGGTTGGGAGACTGTGAAAGCAGTTTGGGAGAGAGATGATGAAGGACAAAATTAGGCAGTTGCAGCGGGGATGGAGATGAGAAGGAGAGAGAAATTGGCATGTGAAGCTGTTAGACGCTGTAAACTGATAGGGTTATAAAACCCCACTGCTGTGGAATAGATTCTGACTCATAGCAGCCTTACAGGTCACCCCATTGGGTTTCCAAAGCTATAATCTTTATGGAAGCTGACTGCCACATCTTTCTCCCACGGAGTGGCTTGTGGGTTTGAATTGTCGACCTTATAGTTAGCAGCTGAGCACTTAACCATTGTGCCATCAGGGCTCCTTTGATAGGATGATAGGGAGATTGAAAATGACGCCTCATTTTCTACCATGGACAATGGTGTCATAAATAGAAGGTATTTGTGGGAAAAACAAAGGAGGAGGAAATGGTTTCGTTTGGGGTGTGTTAGGATTGCAGCTGTGGGGTTTGTAAAAGAAATCTCAGCCGGAGATAAAGGTTCATGTGACAGCAGTATGTGGTGGTGGCTGTTCACTGCTGCTGAGTCGGCCCCTGACTCGTGGCCATCCCATGCACAACAGGATAAAGTGCAGCCCAGTCCGGCTCCTTCCCCAGGATCAGCGTAGATCGGACCACTGTGATCCATACGGTTTTCACTGGCTGATTTTCAGAAGTAGGTCGCCACACGTTTCTCCCTAGTCTGTCTGAGTCTGGAAGCTCCACTGAAACCGGTTGAGCGACCAGCAACACACAAGCCTCTACAAAGTCAGCTGGTGGCTGTGCAAGAGGTCCACAGTCCAGGGGTCAAACCCCGCCTCTCACATGGACAGTGAGCATTGTGTGGAGGGTAGTTGAAACCAGGAGTGTGGATGAGATCCCCGCCTCCCCTGCCAGAAGGTGAGGAAGAAGAAGAACAGAAACTGGAGAAGGACCTTGAGGATGAGCAACATCTAAGGGGTGAACAGAATGAGAGGGACTCATCTACTACAAAGTCACAAAAACTAACAAGCTAAAAAAAAAAAAAGAAAAGAAACTTGCCAGTGTTTTCTGTAGAACTTGAAGCAGGGTCCCACTTCATGAATCATAAAGAAGTGACGTGAAATGAGATTACTAATAACGAAGATGAAACGATGTGAACCACGAGTTACATGAAAGAGAAAATGCAACAAGAATCAAAGAAAGAGATGCTGACGGATCTTTGCTTTGTTAATTAGGGGTCGGCGTTCCGTATCTCCTCATTTGCTACGTGATACTGGTGAATTAACAGATCTCTCAACAAAAGGACATTTACATCAACACATGACACCTGCTTAAATTCTCAAGAAGCCATTAATTACACATTCTTAAGAAAATGAGCTATGACACAAGTCTCCTAACTGTATAATTCCTGCCCATGATTCTTAATCACACGGCATCTCAGCTGCAAGATGGATCTTTCTATTCATCTTTTCTGGCTCTGACCAATTAAACATTTTCTTTCATAATCACAACATTTCATATGGCACATCTTCAAAAGAAAAGGAGCTTGTTAACAACCTACCATTTCCCATTGCTAATTTATGCTGAATGAAATTTCTTAAAAGTATAATATAGACAGGGCATTATTAACACATGCAGGCTTAGTGGCAAGACAACTGCAATGCTATTTGGTAGCTGGATTTTTTATGAGTATTTGTTTCAGAGTCATGATTTTTTTTCCAATTAATAAATTAATTCCCGTCAAACAGGTGAAATTCTGCACATACCTTATATATACACTGACAGGATACAAATGTACAAATGGTAAAGGATGTGTAAGCTTATTCAGAAAGAATCATTATTTTCAGAAGGAATTAGGATGCCAATAGAGGCAGCCTTTTGATGTGTTACAGCTTGACTTATGTTGAACGTTCCCCAACAGGCTATATCTTGGAGTCATTTATTTCATAACTGCATAGTGGTCACTGTAGCTTTCCTTTCCAGAAGCTATCCATCTCCAATCATCAAAGGACACGTTTTCTGCACTGTTGATTTCCAAGTGCAATTCAGGAGCAGAGCAGAGGTGACAGTGGCCAGTTCCAGTTAGCTGCTCAGACTAAAATTCAATAGTCCTGACCTAGACAAGCCTATCCCAAGCTGGCTCACTGAGTATAAACAGAGAATATGAAGAGTTTATGGTATGGACGAGGGCCAAATCAGCCACACCCATTCATTTACACACTGTGTATTGCTTCAAAAATACGGCCACCCAATTAATTTACATATTGTCCATGCAGAACTATTTTGGTCATGTTGTCAGAAGGGACCATTCCCCAGAGAAGGATATCATGCTTGGTAAAGTGGAGGGTCAACGAAAAAGGGGACGGCCCTCAACGAGATGGACTGACACAGTGGCTGCAATGATGGGCTCAAGTACAGCAAGGATAGTGAGGTTGGCACAGGACCAGGCAGTGTTTTGTTCTGTTGTACATGGGGTTGCTATGAGTCACAGCCAACTTGACAGCATCTAACAACAACAACAACACACAGATTTGAACAGTGCCACAGACTGTATACTCCCTCAATGCCTAAAATATTTACTATCTGCCTTTCATAGAAAAATATTGCTGACCCTTTGTATAGACTGTGACACTTCTCAACTTGACCACCTCAAGTGCTCTGATCATCAAAGTTCAGGTAGTCCCTGACTTACAACGTATGCGAGTTACAATGAAATGCACTTATGACCATTCTTTTTTTTTTCGGTACATAATATTGTTAATTAATAGTATGTACTACATACAATGTTGCAGCGCTTAATTTGCTAATGTTCACCCGCAGATGTTCAGTGTTAGGATTTATAAAGATGTTGTTGTTGGTTGCTGTTGAATCATTTTCAACTCATAGCAACTCCATGTATGACAGAAGGAAACATTGTCCAGTCCTGGGCCATCCTCATGATTGTTGCAATAAGCCGACCATCTCATTGTCCCCTCCCATCATATACCGATCGGGACCATCCGGAGGCCGCTCTCCTTTTACCTCCATTACCAGTACCAGATGCTGTGGGGAAGACTGATGCATGGTGACCACACGCGTGTCAGAGCAAAACTGTGCTCCACAGGGTTTTCCATGGCTGACTGTTTGAAGCAGATCACAAGGTCTTTCTTTGGAGATGCTTCCAGGTGGACTCAAACTTCCAACCTTTTGGTTAGCAGTCAAGCATATTAACTGTCTACATCATCCAGAGATTCGTATCTTACTTATACCTCATTAGTTCCTGTCTTCAAAAGAAATCTGGAAACAACACAATTGTTGGTCTAACATTAACATGTGAGTGTTTTTTGGCAGATGGAGCCACTGATTTCTTTGACACCTGCAATGAGTCAATAAGATTTGGGAGCCTGCAAAATCAGAGGTGGGAGTTAGTGCCTCTGATCTAGTCCTTGATCCAGAATAGGGTGGAGACTTCAAACATCACTTCATGTTGGCTATCTGGGAGCACTAGCCTAGCAAGGTTCATGTGATGGGGACAGATGTCTCTCAAGGCAGCCAACAGTGGAAACACAGCGGGGTATGGAGCGTGCTTCTACATATCACAGACCCTGACTGCTCATTATATATTGAGAGAAGCCACTGGCTTACTGCCCCCACTGGATTCAATTCTGTCTAATATCTCCAGACCCCATCACTCCACAGGCTCTTGGAACAAAGACAAGATGCCTATGATTTTGCTGCAGTTTTTTTTTTTTTTTTTTCAAAATCAGAATCTGTTCAAGTCCAAATCTACCCTTGGTATACCAGAACTCCCACTCCTGCAAAGCTTTTCATACATGGATATAGAATGATACCTGTGATTCCCTGAGATCACAGTCAGAAATATATTGGAAAGAAAAGCAAAATCTTTCTTTTCTTTTGATTATGTACATCCTTTGAAGACCAAGGAATAAACTAGCCACAGGTCCAGACACTTCACAAAATTGTCCATAATCATCTCCACCCATTTTGCCCTTGTACCTGATCTCCTTGTAGCGTGTGCTGGTCAAGGGGAGTCTTCATGGCAATGACACTGTAGTAGGCATAGGACAGTTCCCAGTCCAGGGGATAGTTATCAATGCCCTGGTAGTGTTTGTACCCAAGATTCATTGAAGACAGCCTCTCACCACCTTGCCCTCCAACCAAACTATACAACATACCCTGTGAGGAAGAAATGGACCAAAAGTTCATAAGACTGTAGATAAAATCAAAACAAAACCCACGGTCATTGAGTTGATTTTGACTCAGCAACCCTACAGGGCAGCGCACAACTGCCCTGTATGGTTTCCAAATCTTTATAGAAACAGACTGCCTCATCTTTCTCCCATGGAGCAGCTGGTGGGTTCAAACCACCAACCTTTGGTTAGCAGCCAAATGCCTTAACCACTGCCCTACCAGAGCTCCTCAGAGTGTATATAGGGTCATAAAATACTAACACCAAAAGGCCATCTGGGCCAATCTCTCTATATAAGCCCAGCCAACCCAGAAACATGTTGACTTCCCTTCTAAAAATAAAAATACATAAATAAATCATCAAAAAAGGACCAACCTAGCTTCTAATGGTTTATAAATGCCCAGCTTTTGGTGCTCCCTAAGATCTAATGGAATATTGTCTGCCATGGTGCTAAAGATGATTCCCGTAGGTTGGAAGGCACTCCGAATACGCAATGGCCCTAACAGTGGGCCTGAGCATGATGAGGATCGTGAAGATGGCACACGGCCGGGCACCGTTTCCTTCTGTTGTACATGGAGTCGCCATCAGCTGGAGCGGATCCAAAGGCAACTAACAGCAATCTCTAACAGCTTAGAATATCCTGAGTTTTGCCCTTTACTCCATGAAAATAAGGGTCATCCCCTGACTTCTCTTACAGCATCTTTCTGTGTACCCACCAACTGTTCCAGTGATCCCTGTCCTGCCTCAGAATGTTAGTGCTGGAAGGGTCACTGGAGACTGACTGCTCCAACAACATCCTTTCATATTTGAGGGAATACAGAGATCCAGAGAGGTGAAGCCATTCATCCAGGTAACATAGCCACCTGCAACAGAGCCAGCGCTCTGTTCTTCCACACTATTCCACCTTGTGGGGACTGCCTCGGGGATTCACCAATCAGGAGTATCTATAAACCAGACACATCCACAAACAAGTCATTGAACACAGTCCCTGTGGGCAGGTCTGAACTGTCCACACTGTTGCAGTTGTTAGTTGCCATTGAGTCAGATCAGTTCTGTGTGTGCAGAGCAGAACTGTGCACCAGAGGCTTTCAAGGCTGTGATCTTTTGGAAGCAGATTGTCAGTCCTGTCTTCTGAGGTGCCTTTGAGTGGATTCGAACCACCCACCTTTCAGCTGTTTGTAGATCATTTGTACCACCCAGAAACCCCAAACTACTTATACTGTGGGGGAAACCCCAGTCTGAGTCTCCTCAAGCCAACAATAAATAATCACGTGTGCAAATCTGACACTACACATGACCAGGGAGCACTCGGCAGTACTTCAGAAAATGTGCTTCCAAATGTTAGGCAAGCTGCATGACAGACTCAGATTCAAACCCAAAAAGGAAACCCTCTGGCAAGGCTTTTATTTTGATGTTGAGGATGGGTGTGAAAATACCTTGACTAGAAATTTGAATGGTTTCCCTTAGTGAAAAACTAATCTGAGGTAATGGTCACACATCCAACATCAGTTGCAAGAACTGATAGTTCCGGAAAAGACTGGGATTCTGGAGAAGTCCTGCCCCAACTGTTCCTTAGGCAATATATCAATACATAAATATACCAATGTACACAGTGGCACAGTAGGTAAGGCATTTGGCTGCTAACCAGAAAGTTGGCAGTTCAAACCCCTCAGCTGCTCCATGGTAGGAAGATGAGGCCATCTACTTCCATAAATATTTACAGCCTTGGAAACTCTATGGTGGTGGTTATGCAATATACCAAAATGTGTGTCCAGAAGTGGGTGAAATGCCTTGTTCCACTCACAGGAGATCCTGTAGTCGACACAACCTCAGGATGTTTGTCTTGAGTGTAACGGTTTTTAAAACACTCCAGGCAGCTGTAACATGTCCATTCTACCAGGGCCAAGAGAGCATTCCTCTGCAAACATCACACAGGTGACAGATGTGCCCAGAACCCATGAAGTATCTACCTGCAGCTGGTCCTGGGGTACACTTAATCCAGTTTCATAAAAGACTGTGAGGTAGTAGGACGCTTTATGGTATCCACAGCAGCTGGAATCCATCAGAAAGGGAATGACAGAGCTAATTTGGTGAAGCCCATCAACACTGGAGAGTCTCTTTACAGCCTTCTCAAATATCCTCCCACCGATTTCTAATATGGATTCATCCGAGTTTCCTGGCACTGTAAATAACACAATTCAGAGCGCACAAAATTAATTACCATGGGATTGACGCAGCTTTAGAAAAAAAGGGAAAAGCCAATTAAAGCCCCTGAGTTATTGATATGGCTGGGCCTGCAGTGCTGTGAGATATACCACCTTCCGGGGAGATAAATTAAACCCTTTGGGGATGCCACGGTGTCATTCTGTAAATAGCTTTTTCTTTGGCACTAAATGACAACCTAGTGTCCTGGGAAAACGGATGTGCCTTATATAGCTGAGAAAGCACCTCCAGAGAGTAATTTACTCAGCAAAACTCACTACCAAATTAGGACCACTGAAACTTCCAGAGATTTTTTTTGTTTCTCTCCAGGACTCTCTGAAGAAGAATGTGTTTTATCTCAGAAATAAGTTCCTAGGTGCTGCCCTCAAAAGCTGAGCAAAGGGGCCTTATTCTGAGATATTTTCTTGTCATCTTTTGCCTCCAGTTTTCCTAGCAGGCATCTATCTACAATAAATAGAAGAGTGGACTTTTATTGAGGGTCTACCAGGACCAATTGCTATGGACTCCAACCCATGGTGCCCCATGCATGTCAGAGTCAAACTGTCCTCCTTAGGGCTTATATGATGCCTAAGACAAATGTTAAAGGTTTTATGTAGATTATGCCATTTAATTCATATAATTTTATGAGGTAGGCACCAATAGTATCATCCCCACTTTTCAGATGAGAAGATTGAGGCTGAGAAAAGTCAAATAACTTGTCTAGGGTTACAAACACTGGTAAGAAGCCAAGTAAGCCTTAAACCTGTTTTAAAAGTCACCCTATTATACTTACCTTCTGATAAACTGGTAGCATAGTGGCTAAGACACTTGCCTGCTAACCAGACGGCTGGCGGTTCAAACCCACCAGCCACTCCTCAGAAGGAAGGTTGGACAATCCTACTTCCGTAGTGATACTGCCTCGGAAACCCAAGGAGGGGTCGCTACGAGTCGGGGCTGACTCGATGGCACATAACAACAACAACAACAACAACTGATAAACTGGCAGCCTGTTGTCTTACTAATTAACTGACAACCATGCACAGAGACCTGTATATTCAATTGCTTTAAGCTCTGTGATGTTTCCTTTCGCATAACCTTCCAATTAACAGATAAACTGATAAACATTTACGTCCAAACCAGCAAGTTATCTGCCCTATTGTATAAGTGCTATAGTCTTTTAAAATCTTACTTTGTCTGCATTATTCATTGTCCTAATGTATGAATCCAGTCAATAAATGCTTACTTTCTATTATGAGCAAGGTACTATTCTAGTTGTCATTTTGCAGAAAACCACGTAAGATAGCACAGATATTTTTATACTACAAGGAGATATGGCCAACTTATTTATAAGAGGTAACAAGAAACTCACTGTTATTAGCTTCCACCAAAGAATGAACAGAGAAAAAATTTCAATGTGGAAAACTCAGAAGGGAAGGTTTGGGGTTGGGTTATCATCTTGTGGGTTAAACTGTTATCCCCCCAAAAAAGATACATTAAAGCTCTAAGCCCCAGTACCTGTGAAAGCAAACTTGTTTGCAATTAGGGCCTATGCTGGTGTAATTAGTAAAATTCACATGAGGTCTCACTGGAGTAGAATGAGTCCTAATTCAATCTCAGCAGTCTCCTGATCAAAAGAGACGAGACCCAGACAGGGACACGCACAGAGAGATGATGGTCATGCCCAGAAGGAAGCTGAGATGAGTTATGCGGCCACAGACAAGGAGCAAGAGGCTACCAGAAGCCAGAAGAGACAAGGGAAGATGTTCTACTACAGCCTTCAGACAGAGCCCACGCCCTGAACTTGGACTTCTAGTCTCTAGAACTGTGAGAGAAAAACTTCTGTCGTTTTAAGCTACGTAACTAGTTGCTGTTGAGTGAACTCCAATTCATGGTGGCCCCCGCGTGTCAGAGTAGAAATGGACTTCACAGGGTACTCAGTGGCTCACTTTCTCGGAAGTAGATCATCAGGCCCTTCTTCTGAGGCCCCTCTGGGGGGACACAAACCTCCAACCTTTCAGTTAGCAGCTGTGTGCCGTAACCATTTGCACCCCCCTGGGACTTAAGCCAGACTCATAGCAATCCTATAGGATAGAGTAGAACTGCCCCACAGGGTTTCCAAGGCTGTAATTTGTATGGAAGCAGACCGCCTCATCTTTCTCCTGCAGAGCGGCTGGTGGGTTCCAGCTGTCGACCTTTTGGTTAGCAGCTGAGTGCTTTACCACACTGGCACAGTAGGTGCTGAAGTGTTTTCAGTCTGCACTCATGCAGATATTTTTCAATAGTGGAGGTAACACAGCTAAATGCTCAGCATGTGTACTTCCAGATTTTTCTTACAATAATTCCCTTACACATCAATTTATGCATATACATACACATATTTTACAAATATGGCACACTACGTTACTATCATCCTACTGAACAAATGGGGTTTGCTCCTTTTTCTTTTTCTGTGTGTATGTGGAGGAGCACTGGTTATATAGTGGTTAAGGCAGTTGGCTCCCAACCAAAAGGCTGGTAGTTCAAACCTACAAGCAACTCCACAGAAGAAAGAGGGGGCCATCTGCTTCCATAAAGATTTACAGCCTGGGAAATGCAATGGGGGTCGCTATGAGTTAGAATTCACTTGATGGCAGTGAGTTTGGTTTTTGAGTTTGGTGGTAAATATGTATGTAATAGAATACTTGACATCCCAACATTCTTCATACGTCCAATTTAGTGACATTAATTGTGTTCATCAGGTTGTGAAACTATCTCCATTATCCATTTCCAAGTTTTTCCATCACCCTTAACATAAGTGTAGTGTCTCCTAGGCAGTGAGTTTCCTTCTCTCCTTTCCCCCAGCCTGGCCCTTGGAAACCTCTCATAAGCTTAGGTCTGGATACTTTTGCTGTTACAGATGTTGCATATAAGTGGCATCATACACTATGTCCTTTTGTGAATGACTAATTCCACTCTCCATGATGTTGTCAAGGCTCATCCTCGTCATAGCACATGTCTTTATTGTTCTCAATCCCTGAAGACATTGCTGCTTGCCCCAAACTACAGCAATTTGTCTCTATTCTCCCAGAGCAGCAGAGGAAGAAGGAGATTCAGGAATCAGAGAAGGAAATGGACAGCAGGTTTAATTGCCTCCATAAACGACTACCACCACGACCACGAGACCAGAAATGGATGGTGCTTGACTATCATGACTGAACATTTTGATCAAGGACCTAATAGATGGATCCTGATCAAAAAGAGGAAAAGTATGAAACAGAACATAGATTTACTAGGGGAACAGAATACAGATTTACTAGGGGAACCCCTGCTTCTAATGGTCAGAGATAATCTTTAAACGTCGAATCAAGTCTATCCTTTGGACGCATAGTTAAACTAAACAACAGTATAGACCGATTACTAATGCTTGCTCGAGCATGTACTCTCATGGAGAATTATGAGTGCAGACTGAAAACAATGAATCTAAATCACAGCTGAAAAGTTTAAGGGGCAGAAAACCAAAACTCATTGCTTTGAGTCAATTCCGATTCATAGAGACCCTACAGGACAGAGTAGAACTGTTTACAAGGCTGTAAATCTTTACAGAAGCAAACTGCCTCATTTTTCTCCTGAGGAGTGGCTGGTAGGTTCGAACCATCAACCTCTTGAGTAGCAGTCAAATGCTTAACCTCTCAGCCATCAGGGTTCTTTAAAGGGGCAGAGAGCCTATATTAATGATGATGCAACAATACACATAAAGATAGAAAGGTGATACAATGTGATGTAACCAATGGTACTAAAGCGTTCATATAGAAATTGTCAATAGATGTATGTTTGGTTATGTATATTGCCACCAAAAATAAATCACTAGTTTAAAAATTAGCTGCTTGATAAAAGTCAATGAAGATTTTTATAAAACAAAAACAGAAGTCTCCTCTCCCCCAATCCTTCTTTAATAGTGAAAATACACAGCTAAACACTTGATGTGTGTGTTTCCAGACTTTTTCCATTACATACACAATAATTCAAATATGCATCTGTCTACATATACACCTACTCCTCACTTACTATCTTGTTATCAAACGTTTTGCATTTATGACAACAGTAAAAAATCCACTATTAGACTATTTTGCTTATTAATGACACTTGTCTGGCAGTAATGAATGCCAAGGTGCAAGGTGAGGGTAGCATTGGCTGCGATGGTCAAGGTCATGAGTCAACTTCCCTAGCCCTTGATTCTCAGTGGTTTGGCAGGTCTGTAATAAGGTAGTCATCGTCCATTTTCTGAGCTGATGTGGTCATCCTCCATTTTCACATAATGCCGATTTAATGGCATAATGAATGACCTGGTCTTTGGAACCTACCCATGTCGCTAAGTGAGGAGGAGGTATACACTCTGCCCCCTCCCCCAAAATGGCAAAGGATGCTTTAGAGATTCTGACCCTCAACTTTTTTTCACAATTAAGCACATCATTAACCTCTCTCCATGACTGTCAGAACCTCATTTTTTCTAACACCTCAATAGTATTTCACTCTATAACTCTGCCATTTTTTCAACCACTTCTCTATTTTTAGACTCTTGGGTTGTTTCCAGTAGTTGTGCTAAAACCAGCAACATGGCAGTCAACACCCCGAAACATTTCTATCTGCTCATCTGTCAGGATGCATCTGAAAGATCATACCCTTTCTCCACCAGGAGTCCAGGCACCTAAGTTTGAATTTTCCCTTGGCATAGCTGAGGGAAGAATCTCATCCTACTCAACCATTAACCAGGATAAGAACCTTCTCCACTGTATTCAGTATGCACTGCAGCACTCAGATGAAGTTTCAAAATAAATTCTACTCATATTTATTCATATATTTACTTATAAATATGTACTCATCTCCGATGCCCCTTGTGCATGCTCAGAGCAAAGAAACATTAACATTTTGTTAACAATTCATCCTTGCCTCACGCTCTGCCAAATGCCTGAGACAATGCTTTGCATGAGTTCCTACAGACCC